GGGCTCGGCCCGCGAGTCAGCCCGCCGGAAGAGGGGGCGGAGCCGCGCCCGCGCGGTCCTAGTGCCCGTCTGGCCGGGCGACCCGCCCACCCAGCAAGCCCTCCGCTTCAGGCTCCTGGGCTGCAAAAGTGAGTCGCAATCGCCCACTTCCGGAAGTGGAGGCTTTTCTTGGCTACTAGAGATAGGGCAGCGAGAGCCTGGCCGCGCTTCTCTCCACAGCTTGAAGCCCGAGCGCTGAGAAGGGGCACAGCGCTCCGGGGGAGTGCGTACAGGGCCGCCCAGCAGTTGCTTCTCCGCAGGCCAAAGCTCGGTCTCAGGGGCCACATGCCGCCCTGGGACAAGGGGCCTCAGCTTCCAGGTGCTAGGCAGCGGAAGCCTGGCAACCAGATCCAAGGGCCAGGCTGGGACTTGGGAGGCCGGGCTGGGCACTGGGCCAGAGGAACCTCGGCCCCAGCCTCGGGCTGCGCCCACATTCCTCCCTCTGCCGTGGCCCTGCAACCGCAATCCAGCCCAGCCCAGTCCTCTGCTGCCACCCCCACCCTTATCCCCACCCGTGAAGAAAGCATACTCCAGGCAGGCGGTTGCTATTTTTTATTAGCGCTACTTTCAGTCCTTTGAGAAACTGGTCTGGTCTCACTAGCTACCTTTACTCCAAACCTGGGTCTGGGCAAAGACTTGGGGTGATGGGCAACCTAGCCAAGGATCCTCTCTGCAGCCACTTGCGGACTCTAGCACTCTGGCAGGGGAAGGAAGGCTCACGGAGGTTGTGTTAATCCTGCCTCAGGATAAAGGGGTGACGGGGTCCCTTGGACCTCCCTGCCCCAGGCCATGCAAAGGCTAGGCAGGACTGATGGCCAGTCCAGGCAGGCCTTGACTTGCTCTGCTGTGAAGCATGGCGCCTATCTCCCACTGGTGCAAACTTTTTTTTGAAACAATGTCTCACTAAGCTGCTCAGGCTAGACTTTAACTGGTGATCCTCCTGCCTCAGCAACTGAGAACAGTAATAGCTAAGATCACAGGCCATCAACCCCTGCAGGGAAACGTATTTTCTAACTGGGCAGGGGGCAGGACAGGAACTGAGGAAAGCCACAGATGCCTCTCAGCAAGGCTCTAGAGACCAGCTGCCAAAGGTAGTCCTAGTGTGAAATGCCAGCTCCAGCCAGGCTGGACCTGGGGACACCGTGAGGGAAGAGTGAGTAGGGAGGGTAAAGAGGGGCAGGGAGGGAGACCAGAGTGGTTGAGATTTCTCCACCCAGGGCCAGAGCAGAGTAAAGCTTCCCCAGCCCTTCCCCACCATTCCACAGTGCAGAAGCACTTCTCCAGAACACTTAGGCAGAGAAGCATTGCTGTATCAGGGTGGTTCAGAGGTGCATCCTGGTGCCTCAGGGAGGGACTGGCTCATCTGTGATGTCTGGAAAAGCATCAAAGAGAACCCCTGCAGTCTCCCAGAGGGCATCACCCACTCCACTCCCACTGGACCCTAGTAAGCCAGCAATGGACCCAGCCACTAAGAGAAGAATGCATGTGAGTCGTGGAGAGCAGCGAGGCAGCTCTTAAACGTGGCCCAGGAAATCTGCCTCTGCCCACCCAAGCAGGAAGCTCAAGAGCGTTACCTTGCAGCTTCTGCTGTCATTTATCTGAGTGAAGATGCTTTTGGTGATCTGAGCTGTCACTGCTAGGGATGGGGTGGGGGCCAAGGGACAACTGGACTAACCCCCGTGTGGGTGAGGTGGGGAAAGGGAACTCACGGCGCACTGCCAGGAGAGTGTTTCCATGGCAACAAGACACAGAAGTCACTGCATAAGGGTGAGTCTCATCCAGCTGCACTGGCCGAGGGAGTCCAGCATCCTCATCCCTCCTTCCCAGTCGACCTCGGGCCCCTTTGCCCCAAGAGTACACTTCACCCTCTGCCAGAGAGAATCCCAAGGAGGTAAGTGGAGGGGAGGCACAGCTAAACAAGCAGCTGCACAACCAGACAGCCATACTGCTCCAGCAGAAGGGTGCTGAGTCCAGTGGCCCTAGCATAAACTCCCCACAACCCATACCTTAGCCCGTCCATCCTCACCTGCCCCAATAGCTACAGTGAAGGCATCTCCACAGGCCACCATGGCCATCTTGATCCCCTCAAGGCCTAGGACCTGACAGGGTGCTCGGCTGCCCCGGCGGGCATTGGTGCCCAACTGCCCATGCTGATTGCTGCCAAAAGTGTAGCAGTCACCCGAGGCTGTAGGGACAGAAAAAGGAGAGGAAGCAAAGTTACCTCAACAGAGGTTCCCAAGAAAGCCAGTGGGTTCCCCTTAGTCCTGTGTGCCTCGGTCCTACTCACCAGTCACAGCAGCCGAGTGAGCAGTACCCAGGTCCACACTCAGCAAGGACTCCTGGTCCAGGGGTGCGGAGCGTAGTGGTGTGAAGCCCAGGGCCTCCTCTACTTGCTGCTGGGGGGCAGGCTCCTCCCCGAGGGAGAGGTGGTCCAGGCCCAGCTTGTTGAACCTCAGGGTAGAGCCAGAAGCCAAATCCAAATGTCAGTTTGTATAGACTGCCCTGCCTCCCCATAATTGGGCAGGGGCTGGTATGTCCGCCCCACCTGGACTCAGACCCCACCTTTAATTGACCCAAGCAGCCCCCTCAGCCCCCTAAGGTTCTGGTCCTTGGTGGGAGGGAGGGAATGAGGAATGGAACACTTGGAGCCAGGAAAGGCGAGCGGGCAGACTGATCACCCCAGTGCGTCTGCTCACCTGTTGCTCCCACAGGCCAGGGCTCGGCCAGGCACAGTGAGGATCATGGAAGAATCAATGCCACATACAACCCGCTGGGCCTCCTGTCCTGGGGGCATGGGCACCTGTTGGGGGCAGCTATGAGACTCTCTGGTGCCTAGTCCCAGCCTGCCTATAAGAAGAAACTGGGATAAGATTAGTCTGAGTTTAGGGTTGAGGATGCTAGAATGAGAAGAGCTATCGAGGGAACAGCATGACCCACGGCTACCCTCAGCCTGAAATGCCTTTCCCGGTCCTCTCCGCTGGTCACAATCCTCCTTTAAATCCCTGTTCAGCTGGGTGTGGTGGCACATGCCGGTAATCCCCATACTTGGGAGGCTGAGGCAGGAGGACTGCTGTGAGTTGGAGGCCAGCCTGGGCTACATAGTGAATTCAAGACCAAGCTGCACTACAAATTGAGACCCTGTCTCAAAAAAAAAAAAAAAAAAAAAAAAAAAAACTTAAAAATAAAAGTAAAGCCCTGTTCAGATGCCACTGCTGTCTCCTCCAGGTAACACTACTATTTCTTGAATCCGTGCTCCTCTTAACCTTGGGTGTGCCTCACCAGCTAGAGGTGAGTCATCTGTCCCTACTCTAAACTGAGTCCTCTAGGCAGACAGGAACCTACCTTTGTCATCTCTAGTTTCAGTGTCCAGCCTGCTGCTTGGCCAAAAGAGCCTCAGTAAATACTATTGGGCCAGGGGTTTAGCTCAGTGGTAGTGGCAGAGGTGCTTACATGTGCTAGGCCCCAGGTTTGATTCCCAGAACTACAATCAATCAGTCAATCAATATGCTGCGGATGAAAGCTCCCCTGTTACATCACAAGCACCTGATGAAAGCCACATCTCATTTTGTCTCAGCGCTCAGAGCAGGGTGGGTACACAGTGAGTATAAAATAAAAGTTTGTTGAATGCACAAATAGAATTTGAGAGTGTAGATAGAGAACGAGCCATGGGGTGGAAGGTGGGCATGAAGGGGAACCATTAGGGCCAGGGATATAGCTCAGTGGCACAAGTGCCTGCCTGCCAAGTGCAAGGTCCTGAGTTTGATTCCTGGTACCAAAAAAATTTTTTTTTGGAAAAAAAAAAAAAATTGAAAGAATGAAGGGGAACCAACCACAGCCGAAGCTGTGGCAAGAGTGGGGAGCCTGTAATCTCAGCACTCTGGAAGGCTGAGGCAGGAGAATTGAAAGTTCAAACCAGCCTGAGTAACTTTGCACGACCACGTCTCAAAAATTAGAAAAGGGCTGGGGATGTAGCTCAGTCCAAAGGTCCGGGGTTCAATTTCCTATACGGGGTGGGGGAAACTTACCACCATCTCCGCGGCCCCAGGCAAACAGTTCTCGCTCTGTGGACAGGGCCAGCACATGAGAGGCCCCACAGGCCACCTGCACCATCTCATAGCCCAGCAGGGCCTCCACAATGGTGGGCTAGAGAGAGGGAGAAAGCCAGGAGAGCTACGAGATCTGCACCTAGTTAGAGGCTGCAAATTTTCAGCAGATAGCTGTGTCTTTAACTCCAGTTGTATGTGGTCACTGTCAGGTGGGCAACCAGTGGAAGCCGCGCCTTTCTGTACTTCCCTAGATGTGGCCTAGGAGCTAGCAGGGTCGTGGCTGCTGTGGACTCCCCTGCCCCCAGCCTGGTGTCAGCTCTCAGATGTGGGCCCCTTGCCATCCTCTCACTTCCCCTTTCCAGGGTACACGTGACACCCACCTGGCTGATGTCAGTGAGGCTGCCATGGCCTAGGCACCCGTTGCTGCCACTGCCAAATGTCATGATGATGCCGCGATCTGGGGAGGAAGGCAGTACAGACAGGGAGGGAGGAGGAGACTGATTGTTTTCCCAGGTAGTTTGTTCACTTGTGGGGGGGAAGAGTAAGATAAAGTTGGGGCTACGGATGAAGAGTTGAGATAAGAGGAAAAAAAAGGGTAGAGGTCTCTTCCCCGTCTGTCAGACAAGTGACAGTCTCTCTGTTAAGTTTCCCTTCCTGTCAAATGGGGATAATACAGCGACTCCCCTGCCAAGCCTGTTGGATAGGGTAAAGGAGATGGTACAAGTAAATCTCAACAGCTAGATAGATGCAGTATGGCTGGGGATACAGCTCAGCAGCTCAAGCGCCTGACTAGCAAGCGCAAGGTCACGACTTCGAGTGTACCAAAAAAAAAAAAAAAAAAGATGCAGTAATTCAGTAACTAGGAGAGAGGTACATTAACTGAACACTTTGCCATGAGGTACTTTGCTGAAGGCTCACCAGTCAGGCAGGCCGTGAAGAGGTCCCCGCAGGCCACATGCTTGATGGTCACGCCTGACTGGCCCTCCAGGAAACGTGAGATGAACTGGGGCTGGGGCTGCTCCACTGCCCCTGGGAGGAGGGCACCTGCACCTGATCCTAGGGGTGGGGCCTGCAAGGGGACAGTGGGTGGCGGTGCCTCAGCATCTCCAGCCTTCCTCATGGGCCTCCTACCCTCATGAAGTCCAGGCCCACTGCCAACCTGCTCACCTCCCACAGGATGAGGCGCCCAGAGCGTGTGACGCCAGCCTTCTGTGTGCGCCCTACAGCCACCTGGATCACCTCTGTGTTGAGCATTGGCAGCCGCAGGGGGGTGCTCAGCCCACCCCCCCATGCGTACACTGATGACAGTGGTGGTGGGATGGCCGGCCTCATGGGTCCCCGGAGAACACCTATGAGAAAAGGACATGGGGTCAATTAAACTGCTGAGAATGGTGGGGAGGGGGCTGGGGATTTAGCTCAGCAGCACAGCGCCTGCCTGGCAAGCACAAGGTTGTGAGTTCGACTCCCGGTACCAGAAAAAAAAACAAAAAAAGAAAAAAAAGAATGGTGGGGAGTCTGCGGGGCCCTGGTGGCCTGCCCCAACTCACTCCTGCAGCGGGCACTGCTGGTCCTACTCCCTGTGTTGCCAGGTACAATGGGTGGTCCTGGACCCAGAGACTTCTCTGCCCTGCAGAACAGATGGAGGTCTCAGGACATGGACTCTCCCCAGAAACAGAGGACCTGCTGCAGGCCTCCTGTGGTCCCACTGGATGTCAACACCCCCCACCCCACCTAGGCCCTCTCCCCCAGCACAGGCCTCCGCATTCGGATGCTGCCCACGTCAGTGTGCAGGTTGAGGAGGGCCCGGATGCAGAGAGGCTGCGCCATGATGTGGCTTAGTGGTGGCCGCTGTGCAGGCTCCAGGCTCAGCAGACTCAGGACCAGCTGGCGCAGCTCTGGGCTGTACCGGTCAGAGATGGGTGCAAAAGTGCCGCTCATGATCTTTAGTACCAGTGCTGGCAGGTTCTGTGAAGGAACCAAGTTGAGCGGTGCCAGAGGTTGAGTTGGGCTCTTAGAGTAGCGCCCCTGCCCACCTCTCGGCTTCAGCCTCAGCCCTTGGTCTGTGGGGGATGAGAAGAGTCCTGCCTTCAGGAGGTAAGCCAGGCAAACCCTGCTTTCCAGAATCCATACTCTGATAAGGGATCTGCAGTTCCTGTCCTCTGAAACCGCAGGCTATGGAGAAAACTCAAGGCTTGGTTGGAGAGTGTTCCTAATCTGATGGGAGAGTCACAGCCTTGTACTCAAAGAACATCAGCGTAATGGGGGAGGGGACTCAGACTCTACCCTGAGGAACCCTGAGTCTGAGTCTGAGTCTGAGCAAGAGCCCTGCCCTGGGGTAATCCACCTCGGTGATGCCGAGACACCTCAGCCACAAGGAACCACTGAGGTGGTTAGATCCTCAGGGCTGCTGGGGAGAGGGAAGTTTCCCAGTTGTTCCCTTAGATGTATTTCTACTTACTGCAGCCTCGAAAGCTCTCTTGAGACTGGCCAGCTCATAGAGGACACAGCCCAGGGCCCAGATGTCACTCTTCTGGTTATACGGCTTGCCTTCACACAGCTCAGGGGAGATGTAGCACGGAGTACCCACTACCTGCAGGAGGGAAGTCTGTATTACAGCCTTGGGGAAGAGGGGTCTGGCCACAGGCCTACTCGGGGTCAGCTTTTCCTTAAAGCAAGCCAAGGGCTTCCCACAAGAAGGGGCCAAGGAGCCAGCACTTTGACGGGGGGAAGTGGGGATAGGAGGTAGAGACGAGAGTAAGCGTTGGCCTCAAGATCTCCAGCACCCTCAAGGCCCCCTCCGGGTCCAGGCACCGTGTAAGCCTTGCTCTTGCTGCTAAGGATCTTGGAGATGCCAAAGTCACCAATCTTGACGACCATGCGGTGTTTGTCAAGAAGGATATTCTGGGTCTTGAGGTCCCGGTGCAGGATGAGGTGGGTGTGTACATGATGTAGCGCAAGCAGAATCTGCACAAAGAAGTGCAGGATGGTCTCCTCCTCTAGCAGAGAATTGCAGCGCTTCTGGATGAACTCAGCCAGAGTGCCACCTGCGTGCAACCCAAGGAACTAATCAAGATCCAGGCCTTTTGTCCATGTGTGTGTGTGTGTGTGTGTGTGTGTGTGTGTGTGTTAAAATCCAGGCCTTTACCGGGTGTGGTGGTACACTCCTATAATTCCAGCACACGGAAGTCTGACACAGGAGGACTGCTGAGTTTGAGGCCAGCCTGGGCTACATAGTGAGACCCTGTCTCAAAAAACAAAACAAACCAAAAAAAAAAAAAAAAATCCAGGTTTTCCACACCTGGGATGTCTGTCCTTTTATGAAATAGGGCACTAGGACAAAAGAGGGGAAAGCCTCTGCCAGAGGCACATAATTGGGCAACTGGGCCCAGAACTCTATACCCCTGACCCTTGGCCAAGCCCATCCAAGGAGGGAGGCCATCTGATCACGTATGCCTGTCCCAGGGGTGAGGGCCCAGGCTGATTCAAGGAGGCCAGCCCACCTGGTGCATATTCCATGGCAATCATAAGAGCCTTGTCCTCCAGGAAGTTCTCATAGTATTCAATGACATTGGGGTGATTGAGCAGCTTGAGCACCTGGCACTCATTCTGGGCTGCCTGCCGTTCCTCCTTGGTCATCTGTTCCACTGGGATCTGTTTGATGATGACCAGCTTCTGGTCAGCCTTTCGCAGACACAGGTGCACAATCCTGGGGACAAAAGTGCAGTGCTGGCATCAGCCGAGCCTCTAGCCACTAGAAGGCAGGGCAGACAGAGCAACCGGATGTTCCTTAAAAAAGGGTAACGGGGGCCGGGGAGATAGCTCAGTGGCACAGCACCTGCCTAGCAAGCACAGGTCCTGAGTTCAATTCTTGGTACAAAAAAAAGGGTAACAGGCACCCAGACTAAAAGGTCATCTGACCAAGTACACAGAACACTGAGCTTGGGCTATGTACGGTGGCGCATGCCTGGGGTGCTGAGGCAGTAGGACTGCAATTTCAGCAACAACCTGGGTCACATAGCGAGACACTGTCTCAAAACCAAACAAACATAAAAACCAAACAAAACAGAACCCTTAGCTTGGGAACAGGGAAAGCTGGTGACAAGCTCTGCATGAGACCTGAGTTTCACCACAGCCTCTGAAATTAACTGGCTGGGTTCAGTTTTAGTATGTGTTGCTGAAGTAAGTACTACTCCCTGGGTTCAAACCCTGGCTCCTCTTCTTACTAGTTATCTGGTTTTAGGTACATTATAGGACATCACCATTTGGCAAATAGGATTGTTAAGAGAATCAAATCAGTAAATTAATGTAAGGTACTTAGCACAGTGCCTGGCACATAGAAAATCTTCAATGAATAGAAGCCATTCATGTTAGCATTTTATTTCAACCCCATCAGTGACTATAAAAACAAGAACTAGCCAAGCATGGTGGCACATGCCTGTAATCCCAGCACTAGAGAGGCTGAGGCAGGAGGATCACCTTGAATTTGAGGTCAGCCTGGGCTACACAGTGAGTTCAAGCCTAGCCCCTGAACTACATAGCAAGACCCTGTCTGAAAAAGAATTTTTAAAAAAATTTTACTGGGGATTGAACCCAGGGCCTTCACAATGAACTACATCCCCAGACCATTTTTTAATTTTTTTGAGCCTAAATTTCTAAATTGTCTAGGCAGGGCTCATACTGGGGGGTGGATGAGCTATACTAAGTGGTTCCCTAGCATGCTTAAAGCCTTTAGTTTAATCCTCAGCATTTGAGGGGTAAAAATAAGATAACTTAAAATATTCCAGAATATTCCCTTCATCTCATACTATGTACATTAGCAACTCCTGTTTCTATCTCTAAAATACTGTGATCTAATTCTGTGTACTCTGCTATAATCAACTTTTTTTTTTTTGTCTTTTTGAAACAAGGTCTCCCTGTGCAGTTCAGGCTGGCCTTGAGCTCACTTTGTAGCCCAGGCTGGTCTCCAACTCAGAACGACCCTCCTGCCTCAGCCTCCCGATATTTTTTGCTTTAAAAATTGCATTAGCAGGGTGTGGGGGGAAAAAAATTGCATTAGCAGCCAGGCATGGTGGGGCCACACCTATAATCCCAGCATTGGGGGGAGGCTGACAGAATGGCTCCAAGTTCAAGGCCAGCCTGTGCTACATACTGAGTCCAAGTCCATACTGAGTTCAAGTCCAGCCTGAACTACACAGTGAGACCCTGTCTCAAAAAAACAAGCTGGGTGTGGTGGTGCACCCCTGTAATCCCAGCATTCAGGAGGCTGAGGCAGGAGGATGGTTGCGAGTTCCAGACCAGTCTGAGCTACAAAGTGAGCTCAAGGCCAGCCTGAGTGTCATAGCAAGACCCTGTCTCAAAAAAAAAAAAAAAAAAAAGAAGAAGAAGAAGAAAACACTCTTCCCTGAAGCCAGGAATAGCACAAGTCTGTAATCTCAGCACTTTTGAGGCTGAGGTAGGAGTGTGAGTTAAGGGCAGCCTGGACTACACAACAAGAGCTTGTCTCAAAAAACAAAACAAAAAGCATCAAAACCCCCAAACCCTCTTCTCAGGGCTGGGAGAGTACATCAGTGATAAAGCCTGTGCTTATCATGTGTGAGGCCCTGGGTTCAGTCCCTAGCATAAACAATCCCTATCTCAATCTCTCTTGCCCTTATACTGCAAATCAAGTCAACCCCTTCACCTCTGTTTACAAGGCCATAAACTGGTGCTCACCCTCGGTGAAAATCACACTTTTGATTTTTTTTTTTTTTTTTTTTTTTTACTGGTGCTGGGAATTGAACTTAGGGCCTCACACTTGTCAAGCAGGAGCTGCGCCACTGAGCTAAATCCCCAGCCCCGACAATCACATTTTTAAACCACTGCTTGTTACACTCCAATTACATTAGCCTTTTCGGTTTTTGAATTCTCTGAATTCCTTCCCACCAGGATCTTCGGATATGCTTTCCTCTTCCAGAAAACTTTTTTCACCTTCGCAGCACTGGTCCTAATTCCTCAAGTCGAGGCTTTACATCTCACCTCCCAGAGATTTTTCCTTGACTACCCCCGGTAAATATTCTGTGGCATTTGTTCACTGCCTGTTAATAACCGTTCATGACTGCTTTTTTTTCTATGACTGCTTTAACAACGTCTTCTTCGTGGTACTATTTTCCTATCGTCTATAAACTCTGAAAGGGAAAAAAAAAAAACACCACACCTGTTTGGTCATAACTTTACACCCAGCGCCCAGAGCCGGACTCTTGCAGCCGGCACTCAACATCTGTTCAAGGAAAGAACGAGGAACCTCACACCCAGCCCGGGACGCTAAGGTTTAAGGGGCGTGGCCTCTGGGGGCGGAGCCATAGCGCCCGCATTCGGGCCGGAAGCCTGGGCGGGGCTTCTCAGAGTGGTGCTCACGCCTCGGGGCGGGGTTAGCGGGGCGGCAAACTCGCGGTCACAGTTAGGGGTTTATTTTCCCAGTCCCCCTAACAGTTTCCTCCCTCAGAGCCCTGGCTCACCCGAAAGCACCTCTCCCCACCACTCGGATCCGCTCGTACTTCTCCATCTCATTTCTCAGACATATGCTTCCGGAACCCTTCAGGCGGCGCATGCGCGGACCTGCCCGCTCTGGTGCCCCGCCCCCTACGCTGTGCGACGTTTGCTGGGCGGAGCTAGCGGCTTTGTGTGAATTCCAAGTACAGTAGCTGCTGTTTGTGTATTTACAGTGTCCACAGCACGGATACGAAGTCGCTTTTCCCCCAGGGTCCTGCCGCACACGGGGTCCAAGAGTAGGATTAACGCCCATTTCTTGGCTCACTCCGCAGTGCTCAGCGCCATACCAGCTGCTTTTCACACACGTGGCTCGATCAGGTCGGGGAGAGTTTACTAGAAGTGAGGCATACCACCCCCGCAAGCGTTGCCTTAAGACCGCCCCCTGCCCACAAGTGACGCTATTTCAGGAGGATAAAGCGGATCCTCCTTGGCACGCAAGCAAAAAACAACCAAACTAAACTGAGAGCAGCGCTCTCGGTCTGTGGAGCAGAGAACAGGGGTAGTTTCGTGTTTGCGTAGGGAGGGGCCGGGAAAACCCCGAGTTGTGCAAATTGATTCACCTGGGGAGAACATGACGCCGTCTCCAGGATGAGCGAGCTAGTGAGCACCGCGCTCCTCAGCACGCTCAACGCTCAGTCATCCGCCGAGGGGATCAGCACTTCCCCTCTGGGACGGTAGGAGTGGGCACGAACTAGTAAGCGTCTGAGAGGGGTGGAAAGTACGCCGTTTGGCCGAGATGGCTTCAACTCTTCTGCTGAGTCGGGCGTGGTGGCGCATGCCTATAACCCCAGCATTTGGGAGGCTGAGGCAGGAGGATCGCCATGAGTTCGAGGCCACCCTGGGCTACATAGTGTGTTCAAGACCAGCCTGAACTATAACTGGAGACCTTGTCTCAAAACAAAACAAAACTCTTCTACCCAGAGGTTAGGGTCAGGTTAGGATTAGGGCTAGCTGGTCTGACCCGCTAGGATCTCAAGGGTCTCAACTCAGAAGTGAGTTTAATTCCAGCCTCTTCCTGGCGCCACCCGCTCTGAGGGAGCTCTATAAATTAAGAAGGAGGAGGATCATTAGCAAAGGGTTAACATCTGTATTTCAGAGTGGGCGAAGAGCTGGGCATGGTGGCACACGGCTGTAATCCCAGCACTTGGGAGTTTGAATTTGAGATGAAAGGATCCTCGCGAGGAAGACCCAGTCTCAAAAACAACAAAAAAGTAAGGGAAGAAAGAGGGTGTTTCACCCTCTGCTGCCGCCCTACCACTCAAAAGGATACCCACCCCCACATAAGTGGGACGACTAGGGGCCGGGTCTGCAGGGCTCCGGCAGTCGCTGGCGGTCACTGGCCTAGGCTGGAGTCAGTTGGCGAACAAGAACAAGCTGCCCTGTTAGCGAAGGGGACTGCAGAGGGGGTAAAGCCAATCACCCAGTACATCACGCTCTCGCTTAGAAACCAGCTGAGCCTTGGGTGACCCGGCAGCCCCACGGGGTTAATGTGTAACGTTGGAGCGCTCAGGGGAGACAGCAAGCACCCGAGCAACTTGGTCTCTGAGCCGCGGGTTTCTAGCTTCTTCACGCAGCACTTTCCCCTCCCCCACCTCTGCCCGCCTCTCCTCCGCTACCTCCGCCGCCGCACACACCTGTTACTCTCCGAGCCCGCGCTCAGCCTCCTCTTTTGCCCTAGAACCTTTTTAGAGACCGAGGGCCCAAACTGCAACCCAAAACCCACTTATTTAACCGAAAGCGCCAACACGGCAATTAAACCTGAATACTGTTCGATTCCCGGTACCAACAAAACAAAACAAAACAAAACAAACCTGAATACTGCGGTTTTAGTTTAGAAAAAACAACTCATACATTAACATCTTTTGTCTCAAAAGAAAAACACAATAACAGAACTTTTGGGGGGCCAGGGATATAGCTCAGTGGCATAGTGCCTGCCTGGCAAGCGTGAGGTCGTGAGTTTAATTCCCGATACTAAAAAAAAGATACAAACAGCTTTTTTTTTTTTTGCTACCGGGAATTGAACTCACGACCTCAGGCTTGCCAGGCAGGCACTTTGCCACTGAGCTAAATCCCTGGCCACAAATAGTTTTTTATTGAAATGTAAAAGTTTGTATTTGGCGTGCTTTTGCACAATTAATGTGATTTTTGCTGTTGTATATGCATGTTGATAATTTGTCAAACCGTGGCTGGGACGACTTGGTGGAGTACCGACAGACAGGGTTCTGTGTGCCTGCTGCGGTACTGGCCTACGGTTTCCCTGATTTTCTTTCTCCAAAACCTGCTTCGGTCCATTGGAGGGTTGAGACCCCGCGCCACAATGAGGACAGGCTGACACCTAGTGGACAGGGTCCGCAACTCCTCCAGGCCAGGGCCCTGGAGAAGAAAGTCACCCCAGCTGTCTGGGCAAATCCGCAGTCTTCCCCGCCCCAGCCTCCAGGGAGCCAGGCGTCTAGGGCTGGGACTGTCTAAAGGAGGACTGTGACAGCCGCTTGGCCTCCGGAGCCCAGGAGCGAGCGGGGAGCGGTGATGATGGGTGACTCAACAGCTCCTGAGCACCACTCGGGCGGGGAGAAGCTTGTAAACACTCGGTGTGGGCCCAGCGGGCCTGGGCGGAGCCATTGTCCGAGGCGGGGCTTCCGATCCCTTCCCAGGACCAGGGTTTGTAGGGGACGCGGAGTGATGGGTCCCGCCCAGATCCGCCCAGAAAGGAGTTGAGGGCGGAGAGAGGGTTCTCGCGAGCCCGCCCAGGGCGGGCGAGCGGGCGACACCGGGAAAGTTGGGACGCGAGTTAAGGGGCCGTGGGAGCGCTGGCGGCTGGGGACTCTTCTGGCCGTCGGGAGGCGCCAGCGAGGGATGCCTCTGCCGCGGCGCCCCCGGACAGCCCCTTCCCGCCTGAAGTTGGCGGGATCCGGGCGGGGCTGGAGAGGCCCCGGGGAAATGGGGCTCGCGCCCTCCGCGCGCAGAGGCGCCCAAGGGGCGGGGGCA